ATTCCCGTCCTAATAGCATAAGATGACAGAAAAATAATCTATTTAGGCTGTACTGAATAGACAAGGATAGGAGTCACTGTTTTCACATGCTATCATGCTGCTGCACACCTTTTCATTTCTGAATGTAGTATTTTTTTCCACTACTCAGAAGAAAATCCTCTTCAGAAGTAAACAGCATGAGTGATTAATGTATGTACTATGAAGATGCTTGCAAAACTTCTCTTTAGATTAAAGCAAGTACGGGCTAAATTTCAAGGCTTTTTTTTCACTATGGTTTAGTAAAGAGCACAGAAACGTGCTAGACTGTGATAGATAAAAGATCAAGAAAGACTTTTTTGTGAATATTACCAATTATTGTGTGCTAACAAGCTCTTAAAAACCTTCCCAGGAACAGCTGAAGTTTTTATAACTCAGAGGCAAGGATCATCACAGCTATAGCTGACTTTTAAAAAACTTTTTGATATATTGACCCCAAACCCATCTCTCTGGATTCTCCAGCTACACTGGTTATAACGTATTCAGTCTAAAATAGATGGAATGCATTTAGTTTAAAAGATAATTAATGTGACCATATCCACTATTTTTAATGAATGAGGGTGATTTTGTAAAGTTGAACAAGATAATAGTGAAATATCCTACAACTACAGCAAGCCCTTAAATTTGTTTATGGATATGACTATTATGATCATTACCATTAGGAGGATTTTAATCTACAATAATCATAACACTTTGAGAGAAGGCTCTTAGATAAGCATCTAATGCAAAGTATATGTGCAAAAAAGCAAGCTTGAGTATACATGTTCAAGCTCCTTTGAGCAGGAGAGGAAACTAATCTGTCCATCCAGATAGATATGGAAGCACATAACAGATAATACAACACATCAAAGAAATGGGCAATAAGATGAGATAGTAAAACCCATCAACATACATCATCTGATCATGCTACGGTGTCATCTTCTAGCCTCTATCAGCTCTGGCCACATCAGTACAAGTCCCAGACACTTTATTCTGTTTATAATTGCTGATGAGCAGTAATAAGGCATCTATGCCTCAGCTCCTGTCCGTTACACTTCAGCGCCCACCTATTAGGTTATAACTTTTATTTACAGCCTTGCTTGATGCTCAGTTCTATTAGTACAGCTGGAAACTGAGTCTGTGTGCGGGGGGGAAGCGTGTCCCTAATGGGCACTATTATTGCCAGGGCTGGGCAATTTATTATGCTGCTCGAAGGCTGTTCTATCATCACTTTCCTGTTGGTGAGAGCTCCAAGAAGGTTGAATTTCTAACACAGTGCCCTCCAGAAGTCAAATGCTAAAGAACACCTTAAAAGTCCCTTGGAACACCAATGAAAAACATACCTTAAAGTTGTTTTAATGTTATAATCTCCCTTCAGTCATCTTTTGTATATTTTTTGCTGAGGAGCTTAACATCTCAGAGCAAATAAAAAAAAAAATCTAATTGGCGGCATACCAAGTCTTTTTGCCCTTACCCAACACAAAGATTGATAAAAAATGATCACACAAAAGTACTTATTTCTTGGTTTTGGCTCTGGCTGAAAATTTGTGTACTTCTATTTCCACCACCTGCCCTTTCTATAACTCCTAAAAGGCTGTCCTCTCGATTGTACAGGTTCAGTCTCAAAACATTTAGATTTCTTGTACTGCTACGATCAAGTACACACCTTGGTATAAGAACATCAATAAATCCAAAACTTCAAAAAGGATCATACACCTGCTCAACTGCTTTGCTCAAGCAGTGGAAGAATTATTTGCCTCTTCTAGACTCAAATTTTCAACTAGAAAAAGCACAGAGCAATGAGACAGATACTGTAATCTTGTACAATATAAATACTACCACGCCCACATAGGACAGATATCCTCATAAAATGTGAGCTATCTGCACATAAAACATACAAAATGATGCACGTTTCTCATGAACTGCCACTGAGAAATAAAGTACTTAAAACTCACCGGCTTTATGAATATAATGTATGACTTGATTGTATCATTACTGCATTTTATCTGCCTGTTTCTACTACCTTCTCTACTGCACAATTAAAAATTAACTGAGCATACTCACACAGTTCCACCAATTTTTTCCAGGTTTCTTTAAGCTGCATAAAAATGTTTTAAAATTTGGCTGTTTAGAATTGCGTATTAAATCATCATTAAAGTTGTACAGCAGAAAAAGAAGAGTAATACGCCACTTAGTACTGCACTTTCACGACAAAAGCACCCAATATAAATGGGATCTGGATGCCCTACTGACTAGAGTAAGCCTCACAGTACCTGTCATCAATCACAACATTACCTAACCGTTAAGAAACAATTCAAAAATATATAGGAAGCTATACACTAGGCCATAGAGTCTCATCTTCTTTCCTACAAAATCTTCAGAATGCTGGCTCTCAAAAACCTTTGAGGCATCATCCAAACTAACAATTGCAAGGCTTTATTCCTTCTTTTCATTATAATTCTTGTCCTATGGGCACACTTTGAAATAGAAATACTTTTTACCACAGTGATGGCTCTGGCAAACAGGAGGAAGAAAAAGCCCACTATTTGGTGTCGTAATACAATTTTTTATCTGAACAGCTCCTCCAGCATACAAGTTGTCAAGTGCATGAAGTAAAAAAAATTTTTTTTTTTTGGTAAGAGAACTTTTCCTGTGTCTTGGCAGATTTATTGTTTTGATCTTTCTTCAGTGGTTACATTAATGCTAATAAAATATGAAAGGTTTATGTCTTCCTTAATATCCTCCTGATGGGAACCTGCATACAAGATAAGTAGGTCAAATTTCTAATTTTCTGTCTCAAATGCTGATATATGGCAGATTTTAGGGAAAAACTATGCTTGAAGGGGCAAAAAAATTACACCGATGAATTCCACCAAAACATTCTTCCTTCAGAGCTCTTCCAAGCAGAAGAAATGTGGAATACTTGCAGAAAAGAGGCTTATACTCAATGTCTACTATTGATAAATATGGCTTTTATCACTTAAATAGCTTCCTAAGAAGGGACACTATGCCGAAGTGAATGCAGTGTGAAATATTCACCTACATAGTCCACTGCTTATGCCTGAAGATGTCACACCATTTCTGGGTAATATTTTGTAGCCAATGTTTTCTTGTCAATTCCCATATTTATGTGGATTCCCACATGCAGACTTTGAAAACATGGTAATTTATTTTAAAAATGAAAGTTCACTGAAAATTCAAGCTCTGGAGAAGAAAACTAACTCCTGCTAACAGGTTTATTAGTATAAGAGACTACAAGCAAAATATGTAAATCACTGAGCAAATAATGTAAAAAAAAAAAAAAAACAAAAACAAACAAAAACATTGGGGGAAATTGAGGTAATATAAAGGTTTAGTTGACTGAAGATGAAACTTTTGACATCAAATTAAGATCTCCTTATTTTCTTGCTAAACACACCAGATGATTAACATACTAGCATGTAGGGACAAAACATTAGCATAAACTGAAAACAAGAGAACTAGCAAAGTTAGCCAAGCGTTTAATGGATATTTTTCAACATGTTCAGTAGCTTCATATGCTTTATTCTAAGGAGCTTTTACTGTTGCCATTTGACACTCTAAATAGGAGACTTACTTGCCTTTCCGTTAATCACAAGCACGTTTCTTAAAATATTCATATAGTACCCTCAGTTTTCAATATCTACAGCATCATAGAAAGCTTTTAAATTACCCTGCAATGAAAATCAGACTTAAACATTACAATAGCTAACATACAAAGAAAACAGAATTTAGTAATATCATGAGCAAAGCAGATTAGTTTGCAAGGGATACAGTGGCAAAAATTCCACCTTGTTTAGGTACACCTCCATGGCTATGTAGAAAAGAAAATCCAGTCTTCCTATTCTTGAGAAGCTGGAATCAGTATCTTCCAGTGCCAAACTTAAGAGTTCTTTGGCAAACAATACTCACAACACTATCAGAGATTATCATGCATTACTTGAGGTCTGCACCTGCACCAAGTGCAAAGTAAAGTAGCTCCTCTTTAACCTTCCTTCACTGCAGATCAAGCCACCTTGCATTATCACACATTTGCTGCAAGCTGACAACATGTATATATGGAATAACTACAGTTCAACTAAACGTACAGTAACTTGAAATACTTTTTGAAACAATGACTTCAGAAGAAATTTACCTTGAACTCCTGAAAGAATAAGAGCCCTTAATCAAAGAGGAAAACCTTTCCTTTCTGCATACTCGATACAGCTCAATTGGTACATTAATGCAAATATAGGCAAAAGTTATTTTGGAAACACAGACTGCTAGAATATTACCACTACCTAGACACCTGCCACTGCCACTCCTCAGGAGGTTATGGCTTCCCACAGTGATGCTGGTGAAAAGGATGAGCTCTCCTTAATCCATGCAAAAGCAAAGTCTGAAAGAGATCTGAGCCAGTGCAGGTAAACTTGGCTGCCTACTTCAATGAGCACTCACACGATTCACAGATCTGCTGCAGAAACAGCAACTTCAGCCTGGTGATGACCCAACACATCACTACTAATACTAGCTCGGAGAATTTATCCACCTATATCCTCCATGTAGAAATACAGTCATGGAAAGACCCAAAGCAGGTAAAAATTAGTCTCAATGCAAGCATCAGCTGTCTATACTTTCCACGAATAAAGATGCAGTATAGTCAATATACTCCAAACAGTTCTCTACTCAATACTTTGCAGTTAAAGGAGGGATTTCCAGAACACTATCACAATCATTAGACTTAAATCAAACCGATTACTCCTGTTTTATGTTTACAAAGATTAACAGAAAACATGCTATATTTATGGAATTATGTTTAACAGAACTCTGAGATGAACTATCTGTCATACAAATCCTTTTATTGATACAACAATATTTATTTTTACTTGGCATTCGCCAGATATAGTTACTACCCTTGGTTATTAAATTATAACCACAGAGCTACGTATCATGCAAAATCTAATTCCTTGACCCCACAAAACACATACCTGAGTCGCAAGATCTTTTGGTTGGTGTGGTTAATGAGGCATGAGCTGTACCTGTGCATGGCCCACCTGGAAACAGAGAAGATCATGTCTCAAAATATCACTTATATTTAACATTTACAATCATATCGAGATTAAATCTAGGAATATCAAACGCTGAGGAACACTTGTCTTTGAAAAGCACATATGGAAGTAGTCTACTCTTCTCAGTATTTCTTTCCCAGTCAAATTTGAGTATGTCTTGCACTGAAAAAATAGATGAGAAGTTGGAACAAAAAGACTGGATAAATATTTCAAGAGGCAGTTTTAGGAAAAAACACACCGCAATTACAATTTTTCCAGCATTGACAGAAGTATTGTTTCTGTCAGAACAAAGCTAGAAATGTACATTACTAACCCACAAATAATACATGGGACAAAGTGATCGCTTCCCTGACGTCAACAGAAACCTTGCCACTGACTCCAGTGAGATAATGATTTTGCCTTTTATCTTGTTCTCATTATGTTTTCAAAGCGTGGCACAAGCATATGCTAACAAACTCCATGTTTAAAGTTTTTTGTTGAACTCTGGACTCTTGCCCACTCATCTGGTATCTGCCAGGTAGTAAATTGCTTTCTGGCTTTTTTCTTAACATGCATCATTGTTGAAGAGTTCTCCAGAGATCTTGTTAAAAGAGCAACCAATTGAATGTACTCAGCAACTTGCAGTAAAAATAAATAAATAACAATAAACCCCATATAGTGAAGCCAAGACAAATTGACAGTAGCATTGCCAGTGGTAATAACACATCATAGCTTTGATAATTGGATATTATAAATTGGATGATGCAAGAGAGCCTAAAAGTAAGTTAGATCTTAGTGGAGTTTGGCTATCAAAATACCAATAATCAAGTTTGCACTGGACTTCTGGTGATACAGTAGTACTATGCTGGCAATACAACAGAGCTTAGTATGACAGGATAACCTTTAACATAAGTCTTCACGCTCTGAAAAATACTTTTCCCCTTAATTTTTTTTCAGTCTTTTCATGTCTGGAAAGCAGCACTATGGCTCTGGCATTGCTTTTCTCTTTTCAAATATTTTTAAGTCTGGCTTGGTAGTAAATTGTTTCTTTTTGCTTCTCTCTGAGATGCTCCCCTTTTGAGTTTTTCTTTCATTTCTTTTCTCAGTAAGTAGCAGGCCTTGGGTAACTTTGTCTACCCTGTAAAACTCACAGCATTGTAACACTACAAGAAAAGAAAAGAAACTTCTGCAATTGAGAAGAAAAGATGTGAGGAAATTATTTCGGTGCATTTGATTTCAAAGCCATGCATTTGGCAACAAAGATCTCACAAGTTTTACACTTTTGGTTTTCCAGAGGAGGACTGATAAACTTCTTGAGTTTTCTGTTCTCCCAAAAAGTCCCTCCAGCAACATACAACATTCTGTAAAGGTGCAACAGGTACAAAGGCTGAGGGGCCAGTGTTTGGCCTACAGGCAAACACCAAGGCCACTCATTAAGGCCTGGCCCGAGGTGAAACGAAGCCAACAGGAGACAGCAAACTGCCCAACATGACCCAAGAAATGGCTGCAAGCAACAGGCGCCGACACCAGCAGCCGGCAGCATTTACAGTGTTGTGAGGGATGGTTGGATTTTGCGGGCTAGGAGGGAGGGAGCTGGTGAGAAATGGCTGAATTCCACAGGTAGAGTGGAGGGAGTGCTGGGGACCTCTCTGCAGAGCCAAGCCTGCATATGAGAAGAGCCAGGCTTTCCTTTGCAGCGAGGAGGACTGGGAGGCGTGGGTGGGTGCCCTCCCTGGCCGACAGGAAAGCATCTCGGATGGACGGATCCAGCATCCCTGTATCACCACACTGGTGCCCACCCCAGGTCTGACAGCACTGGCGAGCAACAACCACTTTGCAACAACCAGAAACGGTCAAGTAAACGCAAATATTTTTTTACAACGTATCTTTTTCTAGCCTAGAATATAAAAAATGAAAATATCATCATGATCTACGTTAGTAATGCTGTTGTAAAAGGCTCCAAAAATGCTTAGTCTAGGGTTTGATGCATTTGGGAAGAAAATCAATACTGCAACAGAACCCTTGCCAAGCTTTCTACTGAAACCTTTTGGATATTTCAAAAATTACACACCAGGTCTGTTAAGTCAGTCTCAACTTTCAAAGACCGAGTATATAGTATTTGGTTTTGATATAGAATTTCTGTAAATAATATATACAACAGGATATGGAATATATCAAAATTATACAACAGGGTATGGAATTTCAATGAACTGACTTTAGACCACAGCTGCCTCTTAAGATGCAGCAGCTCTCCATTAAATAATTTTAGTTATGTTCTCTCAACTTTCACTGAGTAGACACTGACAGGCATCATCACTGTGGATTATCAAATAAGACCGATCATTGCAATTACTGTACAGTAGGTATTTACTCTAGTTGATACTTTCAGTATCCAATTAAATATGATCTTTATTTCTCACTCTCTAAAGTACAATAAGTTGGTATGTATTCTGCACTTCCCTCTGTGAGATTTTTTCTTTTATTTAATCTTCCCTCATTAGGTATCACTTTCATATAGCTTAGATTTGTATAGCATATCACCAGAGTTTCAGCAAATAATATCTTGGGATTTGCATGCACACACACCAGTGCCTAATAACCAGCGAAGGCGGCACGTCCTTCACAGCACTTCCTTCTGCTACTCTGTTTGTTCCACCATTAAAAATGTCATGCATAATTCAGTACGATGTAGCATGGGCAATTCTATGTGCAATTCTATGTGGAAGTCATTATGTTGAATCTTTTGGTATAGATAACAGCTAATACAGGCATCTTTGTATTATTTGAAACAGGGCAGTATATTTCCCACAGCTTTGATAAAAATTCTGCATGAAAGAAAAGGGAAGTCAGGTAACAGTAGAACACCAGTCCTTCTTGGCTATACACAAAGGTAGGCTTATAATTTAGCATGATTCAGGATATATTTGCACTTCCATTCCCCCAAAAATAAGTGTTTCAAGGGAATTTAACTGTGGTACATAAACCACTTCTGTGCACAGTGAAAGGCCACCTGTTTAGCTTCTAACATAACCCACAGGATTGCAGACTGCTATTTTTTCTCAGCACAAACAGATTAAATTTGAAGAATAAAGTTACCTGTCTACTCTATATCCAATTAACAGATTAAACAATGGCTTCTGCTATTTTTTTTCCAGTAGCATGGTTTTGGGCATTTGCAACTCTTCTTCCAAACAAAAACAGTCACTGCCCAGCAATAATGTAATCCCAAGCAAAGATGATTAAAAACACAAAAATACTAAAAGCTACTGAAGTAATTAGGAGAATTGTGAGAACCACTGACTTTCCAAATTCAAACAGAGAATTAATAAAAGACAAAACAAGATCCTTTAACTCCCAACATTATCATATGTTAAAACAAAGTCTTGTTAATGTAGCTGCTATGGTTTTGGCTTCTGAAATCCCTAGCTTTCTGTAACTTACTGTTAACTGTACTCTAAATATATCAATTTGGAAAAAGAGATTCAAAACCAGTTTCTCTGCTAACTGTCTAAAGTAGTAAAGTTTTATGTATTGTATTTCTCTATATATGTCGATATTGTTATTATTTACTATTACAGACTATTATAATTTGTGTATGTTTAAACTGACCTTTAGAATGCCTTTCCGCATTGTCCACCTCCCTTCCCAAGAGATGGTAACAATTGCCAAGTACCACCTGTCCTGCAGGACACACCCCAACTCAGGGTAACTTCTTGTCTCCCCTTCCTGAGGTCTTTGTAAAGTGAAGTGACCCCACTCAGTCAGACCTTGCTGTGCAGGAAAAAGTCAAGTACTAGGGTAACCCCTTCTTCTTGCTGTTTGAGGAAGTGCTAAGTTTGAATCCAGAGTACGTGTGTCAGGTGTATTTGAACAGCACTTGGAAGCACTTATGGAGCAGAGGAAGAGATGCAGAATGGAGCAAAACCAAGTTTGTACTAGAGTACAAAGCCTAAGATTACAGTAATACACAGAAACTATTACAGATAACACAAAAACTGCAAGCTAGATAATGAACAAACTTGAAAAATAAGTGAAGGAGCCTGAAGCTCAGTAACACTTGATGACAGTGAAAAAGCATGCCTGAATGCTGTTTGGAGCTTTTGGCACTGTGATGGACCCTTCCCAGAAAAAGCACACCAACCCCCTGCATGCAGCAGGCTGGAAGGGGGTAAGCCAGAGCCAAATTTCCTCGGAGCACACAGTGTTGTAGCCAGGACAGGGAGAATTTCATGGCTATTTGCTATAGAGGAAAGAACCCACCTTTAGAAACCTGCCCAAACCAGTAACCTAGCTGTGCATTTCCTGAATTGGTAGAGACGTAATCTAATTAATCTACACAACTGAGTTTGAAAACAGTCATTGATTATGAACACCAATACATAAACAAATGGGAACACAGATATCTAAATTCAGTCTGTGCAGACAGAATACACTCTCTTTAAGCAAAAAAAAAAAAAAAAAAAAAAAGCAAAAGAACTCTACAGTACATAAGAACTGCTTATTTGCTGCAGAATGGGTAAATTGCATAATAATTTAAGTAATGTCATTACTAAACAGATAAAAGGATTATATCACATACAAATGTACACTTTTAAAAATCTAGTTTTACAAATCTGCCATTATTTACTTGCGTGGATTTTTATCTACATGCAGCTTTTAGAGAAGAAAGTGAAACCTGGACTGCTTTGATGTTGCTGAACAGCTGGTAAATTTAACAACTATACAGACTCTACTTTTTTCCCTGCTACTGTCTCACTCCATTACCTGCATTTCCTCTGTTTCCTCATTTGCAAAATAGACATGATACTTTCCTACTTTACAGGTGTAAGTTAAAATGTAAAAATGTACTTTTGAAACCAGTAGTTAAATTATGTTTTTATAAATAATTTTTATGTAACCTAGACAGCTGTGCAGCTCTAATCCACATTTTTCTTGTGTGACTGAGTTTCTGTTTCATGTTCCACGGGGTCCTTTCACTTTAATAAATGGGACCCTAGGATACACTG